TAAGCTTTTTAATCCCTGCTCTTGACTATCCTATCATGATGATTGAGTGGCTAAGATCCTCATAGCATCCACCTCCACGTTAATCTGTCATACAAGCCGCTTGTCCTGGTTTCTTGCTTCCCTAGCTCACCTAATAGGCTAAATCTGTTGTGACCTTTGTTGGTTGGCAGGATATAGAATTTTTATTTACCCAAAAAAAGAAAGAAAAAAGGTTATAGAATTCTAGCTTTTAATTTAATTGATGATTATTATTTTGATAAATTAAATTATGTATTTAGTATGAGTGAGTTCCAATAAAAATAGATTAGTGTATTTAGAATCTTAATCAAGAGGGTGGAGATTTGCGCTCGAAATTATTCAGAACAATCCTAATAAGTAAGTTTTATCATACTGGACAAAAAGTTTTCTATTTCTATTTTTATTTTATTTTATTTTTATATTTCAAGAGTTACTATTCATGGGTTAGTTTTCACATGTACTGATTATGGAATTTTAGTACTATTTAGGAGTATTTTAGAGTATTAATTACTTACTTAGATGTTAAGTTTTTTTCGGCTTTGAAAAGGTAGGATATCACATTACAGGTTGTTATGTTATTTGAATGAAATTTATTTTGTAAAAGAAGAAAGTTTCTCTGCTCTTTACTTGATTTACAACTTTGCCTTTTCTCAATTATTGATGATCTTTATTATATGAGGTTCAAGAAAAGGTATATTTAATTTTCCACCGTTATTTCTTACATCAATTTGGTATTAGAGCACATATTTTCATCAACAACAAAACCAGAAAACTATGGCCAAATCTTGGGTTTATTGATTTTAGGCCAAGGTTTGCCCGTCATCTTAGATCTTGTTAATTTCACCAATGTTTTGTTGATTATTTGTATAGGATTTGTGATTTCGTTGAATCCATGGCAACGAGAAGGGCGAAGTGAGACTTTCATATATCCACTTCATAATCCTATAAATGAAGCAAGTATCTATCGTAGGAAAGATGATGATCTTTCCTCCCACAAAGATATTGAATTTAATATGTTCTACTTTCACGATCCGCGTGAAGAATTAAGTGAATAGTAGAGTGATGAAAGACCTAGATATAGGGAGCATCACTCGAGGGTTTTTAATTTGAAGGAGGATACTCTTAATTTTGGCATAGGTTGTATCCAAAATCATCATGCTATAATTAAGATTTACCTCCATTCATCAACACTTGCTCAGATGAACAACATGATATCTTAAGAGATCCGATCTATGATGAGGATCAAGATAGAAATGATGATGTTTCAGAAGAGGATCTTGCTCATGAAAAATATGAAGAGAAGGCAACAAGGGACTGATCAAAATCGTGACATTTGAAAATCTCAAGGATATTGAAGAGGTTGGGCATTCAAAAGAGTTAGGACACTAGAATCAAAGTACTGCAATGGGAGCTTGGTATGCTTGTATACCTCAAATTATGGTTGTGGTTTCCGAGAATGGTGAAATAAATGTTGAGAAAGCCACTAAAGGCTAGACAATTTGGTTTGAAGTTTCATATGCAATTTCCAATGCAAGTTAGGGATAGCTAAATCTAATAAATTTGTATCAATTCCTTATTATACATTTCACTACTAGTTTTTTAGATATTTCTTCTTACCACAAGTAATATTTGAACCAATAAAGAAGAAGGTTTAAGAATGTGGTTTTGATGCTAAATTCAATTTAGCACATTTCAAAATTCGAAGATGCATTTTCTCCAAATATGAGAGATTGATGTAAGACAAGATTATTCCTATCTTAATTTTTATATAATTATTTTTATACTATTTATGAGTATTATTCACGAGTAACTATTTAGGTTATTATTCATGTGTTACTATTCACTTGGGCATTTTTAGAATATTAATATTATTTGGGGGTATTTTGGTGTCTTAGACTATTTTGGTAAGTTAACTTTAGGGTTTCATAGACTTATACAAGATGAGATTTACATTGTGGAATGCTTATGTTATTATAAAGAATTTTATTTTATTAAAGAAGAAAGTAATATCAGATGAAAATAAAGAAATTACAAATCAAGTGCTAAAGAAACATCCAAAGAAGAAATGATACCCACTTTAACCAAGGAATCTGCCTTATCATTCGCTTCATGATAAACATGGTTGAAGGAAATCGTCCAGTGTCGGTAGAAATCTAAAATTTCATTCCATGCTACCCTCATATTTTTCGGAGGTCTCCCAAAATTATTACACCAATTTATAATATTTAAAGAATTCCCTTTTATACTCCAGCATGATTCATTGCATTTTTCTCTCAAAATCTTAAGACCTTGTAGTAGAGATAACAATTCACTTTTTTAGTCGGTGCCTCCCAACCCAAGCCTGAGTACGAGTGCAAAATGAGACAATCTGAATTGAAAATAACTCTTTTTCTCTTGACTTGATTTACAACCATGTTTTTTCTTCATTATTGTTGATTTTTTTTTGTTTGAGGTTCGAGAAAAATGAAAAGTTATTTCCCAACCTCCGTTATTACAACACATATAATCAACCTCAAAAATAAATTTTAAAATGCACACCCTAACAAGTAAATTTTAATAGAATTAACGTAAGCCACCGATGTGATGATGAAGTTAGACCAAAGCCTTATGAGGATTTTTTCGACCCAAATTCGACGTTATTGTTATGGAAAAACCTTTTATAGAGCCGAGGATCTAACCAATCAAACTACAGCCCACGTCAAAACTTTCACCAGAAGCGGTTGTTTTGATGCCCAAATACCCTCAAATTGATCATCTCAATATCAAGATGCATGGACATGAGAAAAAAATGGATTTCAAGTTTTGAAAATAGTGCATCTTGTAACATATTTTTTGACCGTAAATTTTCAAGGTTTTTATTTTCATATATCTGATTGATCTATACTATTCTTGAAGCTTTAAATTTTACAATTAAAATGAAAGTATATTTTAAGGCTATCACAAAGATTTCCAATATTGAAACCACATTTCTCGACACTATTTGAAGGTACGCTCTATTTTGATTGTTTCGAGCCTCGGCTCTATAAAAACCGCACCCATTGTTATTTGGTAAAATTTTTTGAAATGAATAGAAAAATGGTAAAAGTTTATATAGAGTCGAGACTCTAAACAATCATATTGGAGCACACCTCAAAAATTTCACTAGAAGAGGTTATTTTGATGCCCAAATATCCTCAAATTGAAAATCTCGACATCAAGATGCCTGGACATGAGAAAAAAAAATGGATTTCATGTTTGGAAATAGTGCATCTTGTAATGCATTTTTTGACCGTCAATTCAAGATTTTCAAGTTTTCATAAATATGCTCTATTTAGACTATTTTTTAAGCCTTCAATTTTATATTTCGAGATGAAAATATATTTTAAGGCTATCAAATAGATTTGGAATATTGAAACCATATTTCTCAACACTATTTGAAGGTGCGATCTAGTTTGATTGTGTAGAGCCTCGGCTTGATTGTAGAGCCTTGGCTTGATTGTATTAGTATGCTTCTTGTTGGAAAATTGTTTAATGCGTCTGGGACTGCATTTCTACATTTACGGTATTAAATATAAAGATGGATGCAAATATGTGGTCTATCTAAATATAATTGAAACTAACGATCCAATTGTTTTTTTAATGGAATTATTATTTTTAATTTTCAAAATTTAAATTTATTTTTTCATATTCATGATCTCGATGTTAGAGATTAGATGTTAAAAATTATGTCAAAAAATCCATCTCAAAAATAGATTTTAAGAGGTCACTTATTTCTACATGGACTCATGGAAATTGTCTTTTCTTGTTATGTGTGTGCGTATTAATTTCTTGAAAAATAACGAATGCATATTTTCGTTTTCTTTTACTTTCATTACGAAATTTTATTTTTTAGAACTCCCACATCCAAAGTAAACATAGGGAATGTAAATTATCTTGTACAATATCCCAAGCATATTTGAATTCCTTTTTCTATTTTCTAATAAAATTCCAAAAATAAATGGTACTTTTATTTTCACATAGTAATTATTATTTCAAAATAAATAGTGTTAGTTTCAAATATGATACTTATAAAATTTTGAAGATGCAACCTCTTCAATCTAGCAACTAACATAAATAAGTAAAGAAAAATTATTTCATGAGTGAGCGGGCGCAAGAACCTGCTGACTTACAAACGTCCATCCTAAAAATAGACATTATCTAACAAAAATACTAAAATATTATATTTTAATACTAAAAATACTAAAAAATTATATTTTAATTTTAAAAGTTTAAAAGTTAATCAAAAGCGCACTGTATGTAATTGATTAAACAAAGCGTGCGGTTTGTATAGAGCCAAGGCTCTAAACAATCAAAGTAAAGCACACTTCCGAAGAGTGTCGAGAAATGTGCTTTCAATACTAGAAATCTTTGCGATAGCCTTAAAATATATTTTCATCGTTAACTATAAAATTTAAAGCTTCAAATATAGTGTAGATCGAGCAGATCTATGAAAATTTGAAAAACTTGAAATTTGACGGTCCAAAAATGCGATGCACTGTTTCCATAACTTGAAATCCATTTTTGTCCTCATGTCTATGCATCTTGACGTCGAGATGATCAATTTGAGGATATTTGAGCATAAAAAACAACCTCTTCTAGTGAAATTGTTGATCTATATGAACTTTTTCTAAACAAATCATTTGTATATCATAGATGATATAGTAATTCTGCAGTGGATCTTGAATTTTGAAATCCGGAGACATTCTTAAACATCTTTTCACCTGTGGACCAAGCGATTGGTGTGCTCCCAAGAGAGAATATTATGCTCCCGGTCAGACACTGTTAATCATTGATCCTTTCTCTTGCCGAAAGGAAAGTAGCAAAAGTTACTTCACTCTTTCACCCCAGGACAAAAAGAAAAAAGAAGGCTAAAAGAAAAAATAAAAATAAAAAATAAAAATAAAAATAAAAAAGAGAGAGAGAGAGAAAGAAAAGAGAAAAGACAAGAACCCACCCATTCATCTAAAGCCACTCTCCCAGCCTTTGCCTCCAGACGTCGCACGTATTCCCTCTCTCTGCACCTTTCCTCCGCCACTTTTCCCCAACCCACCACCTTTCCCTTAGCCTTATAAACCCCCAACCTCTTTCTTCTCTCTACACTAAAAAAAACCAGGCTTAGGAGAGGGAGAACATGAGCCAAGGCGGAGAGAAGCTCCCCTCCGGACCCAAGCCCCCACCGTCGCCCTCCCCTGCACCTGCAGGAGCCCGTATGGCCTACGCACCGGCCCGGCCCCACAAGCTGCTTTGCGGGGTCCTGACTGCCCTCATCCTCCTTGTAGGCAGCATCGCGCTCGTCTTGTGGCTCGTCTATCGCCCTTACAGGCCGCGCTTCTACGTCCAAGGCGCGGCCATCTACTCCCTCAACCTCACCTCTCCCTACACCATCTCAACCAGCCTGCAGTTCACTGTCTTGACGCGCAACCCGAACCGTCGCGTGGCCATTGAATACGACCGGCTCGCCGCTCTGGTGGTCTACAGAAACCAGGCCATAACGGCACCTGTGGGGTTGCCTCCTTTGCATCAGGAGAGGAAGAGCAGCGTGGCTTTTGCACCGGTTCTGGAGGGGAACGGGGTCCCAGTTTCGGGCGAGGTGGTGAGCGGCCTCGAGGGGGATGAGGCGTATGGCGCGGTGGCGATGAGGCTGGTTTTTCAAGGTAGGATGAGGTACAGAGGCGGGTTTTGGAAGAGTGCGTGGTATGGGATTTATGTGAAGTGCGAGGTCTTGATGGGGGTGAGGAGGGATGTAGCCGGTCAGGTCCCTGTCCTAGGGGCCCCCGGCTGCAGTGTTGAGATGTAGCCACTGCTAAAAAGTTACTGTTTCTAACGGAATTGCCTGGTCTAACTCGGAGTCGGCCCATTCAAACTTGGCAGCCGGCTCCAGGCTTCGAAGGATTGGATGCAGGTTTGTTTTTGTTATTGCTTCTTTTGGGTTCTGGGAACATGTAAAGAGGAGAAGAGTGTAGAGGCCTGGGGTTTAAAGAGGATTGATGAAAGAGTTGTTTTTGTTTTCTGTGGTTCTGGTTTGTGGTTTGATTTCGTGATTTCTCTCTCTCCCAGTCACCAGGTTTCAGCATTTTCCATGTTTCTCTTGCATTTCCCCCTCTACAATTGTCAACGATTAATACATTGCGCTGGTAGTATTGTCAAATTCGCTTCGCTTTATGCTGAATTCTTCTGGGTTTCGGCCCCCCATGAAACCCAACTCGGTTCTTCTTCCCTGTATCAAATCATTTTCAAAGACATAATTGAACACCTCTCTCTCTCTCTCTCTGCATCGGTGGTAACCAGGATGAATTCCTTATTCTTCTTTGCCTTTCTAAAAGATTTTCGAAATCTTTAAGAAATGATTGTGTTTGACGAAAATTTAATAAATATAACCATGACCCCTCTCTTTGTCAATATAAAAGTGCAGTGAATTCCAAAAAAAATGCAGTGAATTACTATTCGTAGAAAATCAGAATACCCTTTTCATCTCTTTCACTGTGGCAGGGTTAAAACCACGAAATATTGTTTATCGCAAGTGGTTTATTATGTGATTCGAGGCATATACTCCGCAAAACGTGAAGTTCACATTATGAATATGCCTTTGCTTTGTGCTCATTTTGAGAATGATGGATTATACTTATGAAATGTGATCACGGAAAGAATGGAATAGGCATATAGTAGTGTATGATTGAAGTTTTGGTTAATTGTTTCTTGGTGAAGCCCACAAAAGCAGTTAGAAACAAATGAGGAGGAAGACGCTCTTTTTTGACTATTAGAGATGCCTCAATAATTAAACACCTACACTTATCGGATTCCGTACTACAGAAGTAAAAGGCTTCTCTAACACTGAAAAGTTTTTTTTTTTTTTGAATGGGTGAATCAGTGGGGACTTGCCCCAACCCTTCCACATCCGTAGATTTAAAATAAGTTAATCGTGAACCCTAAGAAAAGAGGGAAAATTACAAAAATCTCCCAAAATGAGAACAATCTACCCCAATCAAGTTTTTTTTTTTAAACAACTTTTACATTAAATTAAATTTTTTTAGCAAATACCCTCAAGTCCAAAAAATGATGAAAATGCCCACAATGTCGGACCACCCCCATTTTGTGTCGAACCGCTTGCCTAAAGTGTCGGACTCCATGGTTTTCAGAAGCCGAAAGTGTCGGATTGTCCCCATTTTATGCCGGACTGCATGCCCAAAGTGCTAGACTATCCCTATTTTGTGTCGGACTGCATGCTTTCCAGAAGCAAAGTGCCAAACAGCCCACATTTTGTGCTGGACCACATACTTGCCAAAAGGTAATTTGGTTTTCATTGTACCATTTTTTTTACTTAGCTATATTTGTTAGGAAAGTCAAATTTTAGGTGAAAATTACTAAAAGAAATTTGGTTGAGCAAAGTTCTCTACGATTCTGGAGGGGGTTGTAAGTTTCTCAATAAAATATGCTTCTTGTAGTTCGGTTTTATATGCTCTCTCTCTCTGTTTTTTTTCTTTTTTTGTCTGATGTTTTGCTCTCTCTCTCTTCTTGTTTCTGGTTTTTTTTTTTTCTCTCTCTCTCAACTTATAAATTTTATATAAGGCTTAGGTGTTATGGTGTTGCACCTCCAAAAACAAAATTATTAGAAAATGTGGTTTTCAAGATTCTAAATACGAAAGAAAATATTTTTTAAAATTATATGAGACCCTATATATATATATATATATATATATATATATATGGGGCCCAATTTAAAACAGGTGATAGTTATCTCCTTGTTTGTTGGCTTATCTTTTGGGTATAGCCAACTTGCACGATAATATTAAATATTTAGTAAATCTTTGCATATTGGTTGATCCAAGAAATAAATATTGGATATACTAAAATAAAAAGTAAGATATAAGATTTGATGGGAATAGATCTAAGAAATAGAGGATATGGCTCTAGCATCTCTTTAAATCTTGATGGTGGATCAAAGAGATGATGATTCAAATCTCTCGCCCCACAAGTCTTTTTAGATCGACGGTTAATATTTGACCCTACGAATTGAGTCAACCCCAAGGTATAAAAAATCTATATAAAGAGGCTCTCCCAACTCATAAAAGTTTTCTCTCATCTCTCTAAGGATTTATCTCTAAACACTTATTCTCTCATCTCTTTAAGGGTTTTTCTCTCTATAGGTGGCCCTCCCCATAAGGAAGGCACGCACCAACCAAAATCTCTCTCTCAAGCCAAGGGGGCATGCCCAAATCATCTATTTCTCTCTTGTTTCTAGGTCTCTCAAGCCAAGGGGCATGCCCAAGTCATTTATTTCTCTCTCGTTTCTAGGTGGCACACCCAAGTTAAGGTTATCTTGTGGTGGTTTTGAATTCTGAGTAGCAAAGGGGGGGATCCTCTTGCTCGTAGATCTCTCCCACTCTTCTTTGATCTATCTCTCACCTCTCCAAATATCATTTGATCTATCTCGCATCTCTCAAAAGATCAAGCCAAATACGCTTGAGCAAGACTAATGCATTGAGGCCTTAAGAAGTTGGTTCTAGATTGAGATCGATGGCTCTAAGTTCAAGCCAAATGGGCTTGAGCAAATTAAGGTATTTAGGCATTAGGTAGTTGGTTTTAGATCGAGATCCATATGTCATTGACGATGTTTTGCTATATGTGGAAGAATCAAGAGACCAATCATAGATCTCGAGTACCATAGACTCGGTATGAGGTGTACTAAACCTGGTTGAAATAATCTCCGGTAATTGTACTTCTTTAAATCTTTATTTGTAATTTGATCTTCTCTTCCCATGAAGCAATGGGTTAAAGTTTTGATTTAAGGAATTGTATTCAATAGTGGTAGCAAATGATAATCGTGTTTATTTTATTTTATTTCTTTGTTTCAAGAGTTATTTGTTTGTAATTGGACATTATAAGTGGTCTTGCCGGTGTAAGAGTAAGAAAAATAAGAAAATTTTTAATTAGTATCCAATATGCTTATTCACATAGTCCAACTTTCAGTCTCAACCTTAGACAATTGTGGATAAAATATGGATTTTAAGTTCCAAAAATACATTATACAAATTTCTACTTTTTTTTTATAGAGCTGCCAAATCTAGACATTTTTTAGAGCTTCAATTTTCATAATGAGGGGAAAATTAAATTATCACACCGTCAGAAAATTTCTTGTTCCAAAAAACTGCATTATACAGTGGTACAACTTTATTTAAACAATAATCAAAGTAAAGAGCACCTCTAAGTGTATATTACCAGTGCCAGAAACCCATACAATAATATGAAAATCTATTTTCATCCCTAATTATGAAATTATAAGTTCCAAAAATGTTGCAGATTGAGGGGATCTATAAACATTAGAAATTCTAGAAAATGGATGGTCAAGATAATGTGTTACAAAATACATTGTTATTATGACTTAAAATTTATTTATTTTTCATATCTATACATCTCGAAGTCGAAATGGCAAGATGGTTTTCCAACCTCGCAACATCTTTTCTTTTTCAAGTAGATTTTTGAGGTGGCCTCATTTGTAAATATAGAGTTGACACCTTATACAAACTTTTTCTTCATTAAAATGTTCTTAAAATTTCTAACGTGGTTATATCTCCCATTTTTGTTATTCACTAAACTAATTCGACCCATGTAAAGTAACATTTCTTTTTGATGAAAACAGAGTTTTAATATCCAAACCAAAATTTGGTTTTTTATCACCTCCCATTTTATCAATTGGGATCAGTCGAATCGGTGAAAATGCTACAGAAAGAAGTAATAGAGAAATAAAATCAAGTAGATTTAAGGCGAGGGGACTCAGATTGCCTGCCCACGGCTCTAATCCCGAGAGGTAATTCTCAATCCAGATCATGCGAAACAATAGAGAATAAAATGAAATAGATACAAAGGCAAGGGACTTCAACTACATGCCCAGTCCCGACAAGCGATTCCCAATCTAGATCACGGGCTTCTAAAACGATGTAGATCATGGGCTTTTTAAAAACGGATGAAAGCCCGACGACTGGACCCGGACCCGACCCGTATGGGTAGTCATAGGATACATGATGACAATCGCGTTTCTTTAGGCACACGATAGGTTAGGGGTGGCAATGGACCCAACAAGACTTGGGACCCGATGGGTAGTCCCGACCTCAAGTCTTGGTATGGATCCAAATACAGGACGCAACGGCTGGACCCGAACCCTACCCGTGTGTATAGTCATAGGGTACATGATGGCAATTGTGTTTCTTTAGGCGCATGCCAGGTGTACCTATTGTCACAATGTTGACAATATTTACAGCATTAATGGCAAAATGAAAAAAAAGCTCATAACCATTGAGTAAATGATGGTAAAAAAAAAATAGGGCAAAAAAAAAAAAAACTCATAGTCATAGGTGGCAATGGATCGGACCAGACCCACGACCCAATAGATCCGAATATGAGTCCAAATTTTGGACCCAAATGCTATTCGACAGGACCCGACCCGATCCGACCCGTTGCCACCTCTACTAAAGAGGAAGTTGGAGACTAGACCATGGAATTATAGATTTTCTTAGGATTGCCCTAGACATAAGATATTTTTCAAGACATCAACTCATAGAAAGAGCTTATGTTTGATGATAAGAGACAAAATACTTTCTTCATGGATTTGGGGGTTGCCCAATAACTTTCACATTAAATTTATGATTGTTCAACTTGACGGTGAATACTTGTAAATCCTCCATTTCATTGATTTGGAGATGTAAGACGAGCTTTCCTTTCCCGTTACGAGATCTTAGGCCAATAACTACACCCTTTGGGTCCACCCTAACTGAAGCTTTCTAGTAATTTATTTTGTACGGATGGTTGAAATATATGATCAAGTAAAAAAGTAAAAGCGTTGTGCGAGTACGAAGACTCACTAGCCCGCACAATCACAAGTCTCTATCTTTAAGATGAACATCTACAACTAAAGATTCCTATCCAATGGTAAAAGTTGGACTATATAACCCGAGTTTTGTTTTTCACCACCCAGATGAATAATAGATGTCTAAAAATATAATGAGAAACAATAAAAATATGAAGATATCTAATAATTTTCACTTAC